TGTGGATTCACCAAGGGCAAGTCATGCCTGTCTAACCTAATTGCTTTCTATGAGGAGATAACTGGCTCTGTGGATGAGGGGAAAGCAGTGGATGTGTTATACCTTGACAGGTCTGGAATGATGGAATCTCTGCCTTTCCCTACCTTCTGCCAGCAGTAAGCATGAGCAGGATGGAAATGGTTTCCCTTCCCAAGAATTGGGCATTTTATCCCTTTTCAGAGGAGTAAACATTATCGTTAATTCACGCGTTGCAAAAGAGCATTCACAAGGATTGATGGCATCCCGGGACGTTTGTTTAGATCCTTGGCCTTTGAAGTTGGTTTGGACAATCCCCATTGTGACTTTTACCTCGTTCCTGAACCTTTGTCTGTCTTCAGTTATTGGCTCTTCTTTTCCCTCCGGAGTCCCTTCAGCACAGATCCTGCATCCAGTCACAGTCTTGGGGCTGTGGTGTCACCAGGACTGTCCTTAGAATTTATGGCGCCCTACGCAACCTCCCTGCCCCTACCACATTCCCCCCACGTGACTTGTTTCCGCTGCAGCTCGGCCCCCCCACACTCTCCCCCTGCCCTCCCCTCCCCATGGTACGCTACCTGGCACAGTCCAGCAGGGAGGCGGTTAAATGCCTGGCTGCTGTGGAGTGGGGAGCGGGGAGCTGTGGCTAGGAGGAACTGGCGGTGGCCCCCGGCCCCGCGCCTTCGGGTGCCTCGCGCTTCAGGGGGATGCAGAAGCGTGGGGCCCAGGACAACCCAGAGGGTTAGCAGGGGCCTGGCACCAGCAGCAGGAGTCAGGCCCGAGCCCACACTCACCGTCAGGAAGCAGAGCGACCCGGCCCCAGCCTGCTCCACTCTGCGGCTCCCCGCGTCGCTCGGAGAAGGGGGCTTGGGGTAAGGGTGGATGGGGGCGAAGCAGGGCGGGAAGAGGTGGGGGGGCAGAGCAGGGGTGGGAGCTTCGGGGAGGGTTGCAGTGGTGGTGAAGCAGGGGCAGGAAGAGTTGGGGCTGGGGCCTGGCATGGATGGGGGTTTGTCCCAGGCCCGGCACCCCCTAGCGATGGCCCTGGCAGTAGTAACCAGGTAACCTCCCGCCCCGCCAGCATTTGCATGTTCACGTCACCATAATTTGGGGCACCACTGGGACAGCAGGTAAGGGATGGCCCTGGGGGTTGCAGACTCTGGTGAGGGGAGCTTGCCTTAGCACAAGAAAATAAGGCCACGCAGTGGTAACCACACAAACCAGACATCATTTACTACGGGGAAAAGGGTTAGGATAGGATAGAGAAGAATCGGATTAACAAATCTTTAACTCTGGAACTGCTCCACTCTCACAAACAATTAGACCCATGAGGCAATGATGATGTTCTC